AGATCATTAGAGTGGAAAGATGACAAGTTGGTGCTTAGCTGTGACAGGTGTATTGGGGGGGAAACGTTTAAGATTGGTCCTTAATTGGACTGTATGTCATGTTTTATTGTCCCGACAACAGCTGTATTATTGCGTATGTGTAACTTCATTTACTTTCTTTTTTTTGGCCTTTTATTGCCTTTATTTTTGCAGACAGGAAAGGGGGACAGAGAGAGAGGGGATGACACGCAGCAAAAGGCCGCAGGTCGGATTCGAACCCTGGGCTGCTGCATCAAGGACTCATACATGGGTCACCAGCTCTACCCACTGAGCTAACCGGGCACCCTGATGACAGTATTTTCTAACTGGTGACTTGTCCAGCAACTTGAGGTCAAATATTGTTGCCTCAACAGTGTCAAAATAAAATAGGTTTAGGTCCTTCATATCACCAAATGAGTGTATCAAAAGCAGCATCGCTCCAGCCTACAATTATTACGCAACTTTTTTTCCCAAGTAATTTCCCATGGGACTGGAACATAGTACAGCAGAAGTGCAGAAAGCAAGAGGCGGGCGTGTGATAATAATGTCTATGTGTAGTACAAATCAGACACTGACCATGACTTTGCGCAGCTTGTATCGTTTGGACCTGATGTCGTCCATGAGCATCTCGTAGGGAGTGAGCTGGTACTCGATGGGCAGAGGGTTGTACTGGCGCTCCTGCACTTTCTTCAGCTTGACACCATCACGCAGGTCCCTCATCACCTGAACCCAGAATCGAGCCTGAAGGAGGAAGCAAAGGGCAGCATGGGAAAGGGGAAGCAGAAAATACCATGACCCTTTGAGTATGAATTGATCTGGACAATAACAATCATCTGTGCTCTGACCTCTCTGTGCACACAGAATAAGGAGGGTTCATCAAGGGGAGTGGTTCTATCCATCTCAACATGGTTCCTGAGAAGTTCTTTAATCACTGCCTATTTAGAGTGCAACATGCATTCATAAAGATTTCTTTATGTGAACATGCAATTATGTAGAATCTTTAAAAAAAAACAAAGGTGGACAGATGCCCCTGTATTTCAGGTGAGTTTGATCAGGGGAAAGGATCAGTTAAAGCTGCAGGTCAGAAGTCAGGGTCTCGTTACCCACCCAATCAGCATTCTGTAGCTCATTCAGGTCTCTGCCAGGGTCGTCAGATGACTCTTTCTCCATCTTACGCAGGTTCTGATGGATAGACAGAGAGACAGTTTGAATGTAAAAAAAAAAGAAACCAGAAAGACAGATATCAGGAAATAAGCAAAAAAGCAACAATGTGGACCAATAAAGTTATTTCTCCAGTGTAGTCATAGTTGTGCAAGAGAAAAATGTAATATGCAGAGTGTCATTCAGTTTCAATTTAACACTTACAAACACGTAATGCACCACGAGTCAACATTATCACATAAACAGTTTATTCACAAGAATGGTACTACCTAAAAACTGTCAGTCTATGAAATAAAAGATAAAAGATCATTATAACTTTGACTGATATAGTTGTTTGCTGATATGAGACTTTGAATTTAAAGAATGGGTAATCAGTGCTTGCAGACCTGCAAAGAATACAACTCTGAGGCACAAAATATTTGTACGCTCTGGTTTTGCTGACTTTGATTGTATTTCTGTCCCATTGATTTGGTCTAAGATGCTGGCGCTCTTGTGCCATATCCAGTGCCAAGTAAATATCTTATATATAACCTCTAACCATGAAATCTAATAAATTCACTTTTTATGCAAGCTAGGAAAAAAAAGAAACACGGCATGAACACCTTGTTGTTAGCAACAGCAGTCAGCAGTAAGCCAATCTCCTCCACTGTGACATCTTTGTGAACCTGCACAACGTGAAGCCATTAGTGTGTGGTAAAACACTGACAGCCTGACAGACAGCTTACTGTGGGAAACAAGGAGGCATTCCTCTGCTAATGCTTTCAAAGTTCAACAGAGGACAATGTATGTGTGTGTGTGCGTGCGTAACAGAGAGAGAGGGCGAGAGTGAGAGAAGGAGAAGGAAACAAAATGTAACCAAAACTGTGTGAGCAGACAGAATATGTTCCCTGTGGTTAATATTTGCGGAGAGACTGTTCTTGTAACGTCACAGCAGGGGAGAGCTTGATAAGACAGTCACGGGAGTCTGTCCAGCTGACTGCAGAGTTAAAACCTCAACCCACTGGGAAAACCTCAATTCACCATCATCCTTCCAGGGAATAGCTACCTCGACCGGACTGTTATGCTCAACGTTATATAATATCACTCACAACATAATGCATTTTGCCGCATCACCACTCTGCATGCATGCAGCGTGTACAGTACTTCAGTGTCACATGGTAACATTCAAGTGCTTAATGGCTTATAACAGCCCATCAAATTAAAACACTGCTAATCTAGCCAGTGAAGAGCATAAAGAGAGATCAGTTCACTTGCTTTTAAACACCATTATCTCATTGGTATTAGTGGCGCCTCATGAAATCACTTCAAAGCCACATATTTCCATTTCAAAAGGTTTGATCAAGCAGTGGACAGCATTTTAATTAAAACATGCACGGCAGCCCTCATGTGGACAAAACCAACAGTCCTACTGCCGCAAGTCCACATGAATAATTGGGGCAATTACAAACTGCATCTACAACCTTATTTTTTGTACTCTGTTAATTCTGCTCTCTTTGTTATTCGTTTTTAGCTCTCAACAGCTGACAAGGAGCACTTATCCGTGAGCAAATAGGAGCCAGAGTTGTTTCTGTGAATCACCATTAATTCCGCTGTTTTTCTGTGAATCTCCAGCAGCAGGAGGCGTCTTTGTGGAGAGACAAAGCAACTCTTTGGCAGCCATGACTGGTAGTGGTGGACGGACAAAGACAGATCCCCCTGTGGGTAGGCACAGCTCTGCCATACCAACTGGCAAGTGGGGGTTGCAGGGCTGCTGGGAGCCCATCTTACTCCTGGATATATCACACACACAAACTCAGGCACGGACAGATGTATACACCCACACAGCCCGTGGATGACCTTAATGCAGGCATGAATATGCAATCATACAGTCTGTACTGGTCTAAATGACCTTGCCTCACACTGACAAGTTCAACACGAAGCTTCACAACTGTTTACTCTTCCATATGTGTTGATGGTGATAGTGAAAGAAGGTGACATGTACAATTTGCTCTTAGTATCTGGAGACAAATAAGCTTATCGTTGAACTAGATTTTGCAATGTCCTCCTTGTGTTTATTGCATCTCAAATGTTTTTTTCTTAATGATATACGTTTTAAAAAAGAACCAAAACCATATCAATATGTTAATGGATTGGAAATAGACATGAACAGGTACAATTTGTTTGTTTCACAATAATTTAAGCACATTTGTCACTTAAACGAAGGGGGAATAGGAAGACTGAGAGTCAGCCATGCTAACAGCTCTGTGAGGCTGTATTAGGTAATGGTGCTTTGAGCTAAATGCTAAAATCAGCATGCTAACATGCTTGCAATGACAATGCTAACATGCTGATGTTTACCATCTTAGTTTAGCATTTTAGCAAGCTAACATTTGCTAATTAGTGTTAAATGTAAAGTGCGGTTGGGCATGATGGGAATGTCATTAGTTAGCATTGCACCAATTAAAGTTTAGCCATGATTGCGTTAGAAGAAGGTCAGAAAAGTGATTACAATTCATCTTGTGGAGACCATGAATGTTTACCAATTTCATGGCAATCCATCCAATAGTTGTTTGACGGACAGACAACTGACAGACTGACGTAAATAAAGCCACACAGCTAGCTTAGCTAAAAGGGGGGGATACGATACAACGGAAAAGGAGAAAATAAATCATTATACAGTATTTGTTTCACAAAGGTCCCAAGAATCCCAGCTCATTCAGAATTTTTCATCTTTGTCCTCCTGGCTGTCATTGTTTACTTCGGAGTAAGATGGTTAACAAGTTACATCATTTTAAATCCATATCCTTAAGGTTTGTTTCTTTAATACAAGAAGTGCTGTGAAAAATGATGGTGATGCTTGCGTTTAAAAGCATTAGTTCTTTACTTTCAAGGCTAAAAAGGCTGCAGTCCTCAAATGTCCTTTTTTTTATGCTTCTTTCTCAGCCTTCCCCACCCTGCAATAAGTCCTCTCTCCTAACAGAGAGTTATGTAACCCACCAAATCCCCTCTATTCATTCAGATGCATTACGCACACTGAAAGGGCAGCAGCAGTAGTGCATAGCAGGAAGGAACCCTGAGGTGTAACACATACACAAACACACCACTCCTCACGGGAAATGTTCCAACCCACAGCTGAGCTCCAAAATGCTCCTGAGGAGGAACAAAGCCCAAAACGACTCCTGCACTTGATCTTAATGAATGAGCTGAAGAATAAAAAGATGCTGGACAGCAACAAGACACGGCTTTGTGTTAAGAGCAACAGCCACAATGAATCTGTGATGAAAGAATTATATTATGACTCATGTTAATTTTCCCAAACCACTTTTCATTAAGTAGAAAGCAATAATTATGATGCATTCTAATAACACATCAGTGAAGAAAATAATTGGGAATTACCTGCAGGTCCCCTTCTTGAATATGGACACATGACCCATAACAGAGTAGCATACCAATAATAGACTAGAGGAACATTCATTCTTTGAGGTATGTGGTATATATGGTAGAATAACATCACAGACCCACCTACCACAAAAACAGGACCCTCACACATGATTATTTGAATCTTGCCTGTGTGAATATTGGCTGTGAGAACCTGAACTCAGTGCTTTTGGCAGAAGGAGAGTCAGCATGTCTCCAGATATTGTCATCTATGTCTGACATGCACAACAAACATGTCGCTCCCTCTTCGTAGTGGCCCACTTCAGCATGTCAGCCAGCGTGGTGTCAGAGTACGGCCTGTCATCGGACTGTTTGGACATTACAACACTAGTGACGTACACTAGGCCAGTTCATATAAAGGGCTGCTGATAGCTGGTATTTTGTCCTTACCCTCACTGTCACTTTCATGCCAAAAAACTGCAAACATGTACATATTTTTATTTTTTTTGCCAGGTTGGAATATCCTCTGCAGCATAAATGCCATCATGTGACCATGAACCTCTTATCTAAATCCAAACTGTATGTGGATGAAAAAAAACTCCATCAATAAAAGACGGTTATTAAAGTTGATTTCCATCAAGTTAAATTCTATTTAAAGGTCCAGTGTGCAGGATTTAGTGGCTCTTAGTGTTTAGTATCTGTTCTCCCAAACAACAAGTCTGACCTACTAACTGCCAAAAGAAAAAAAATAGAAACACATTCTCCCTTTTTTGACCCCTTCTCATCCACTATTAATTTTTATGCTATTTTAAAATAATTCTTTATGCCACTGAATGATGCCTTTAATAGCTTCATTTAAGGATTATTGAAGTGGCTAGTCCCCTAATGTTACAAATTAAGAGGATTTGAGGCATTAAATTCAAAGATTTACAGGGCACTGGGTTTATTTGAATGGATATATGCAACAATTATGGTGAAGATGCTTTAAAGGGATGTTTGTCATCTAGCAACTTGACTTTTAATATAAAATGGAGTTTGTATTTGATGTAAAATCTAAAACATGTCAAGTCATTCTTACGTTATGAGCAATGAGTAATGCTTAAATTGATAACGTGTGATGGCTGAGTCAGAGTTTTGTGTGAATATAGGCTGTGCACTGATGTGTCCATTCATTTCTTTATCTACAGTCATTACCACGGATGCCTTTCTGTATCAGCTGAGTGCCTCTGCTTTGTCACACAGGAAACACGGCTGTCTGAGCGCTGTCGTCATGTCACTGCTAGTGTCTCTGCTATGTCCATGCCTATTACATGCTACAGTCCAGCCCTTCCTCTCAGAAGAGACGACTTATTACTGAAACAGGCAAGATGGCTCACTCAGATATGATTTTTATGCTCTGCTGGTTTCAATACTACTGTGCCTACTATTTTAACTTAGGTTGACATCACCAGAATCACCAAATACTATACAAATACATAAATTGCATGTGCATTTCAAAATGGATATAAAGTGTTTTCAAACCCTTCATAAGCAGATAAAGATATGTCTTTTCATACGAATGACTGTCACCAGATATACACCAGCAGTTTTAATGTGGCCCCTGAGAGTGAGAGTCATGGTGATTAGGGGTGTGTAAGGTCACAGTGCTTAATCCTCTAAAGTGATGCCTCACTATGTCCTCCATGGAAAGGTCAGTGATCATCCTGTAACCTATCATTAGAGGGGAGTAAAGGTATGGTATTATAAAGCAAGGGTTCATGCATTCACCATACCGAAAAAATAATGTTCCTATATCTGCTGTATGATGTGTAACTAAAACACTTAAACTGCAATTTATGTGTTTGAAAGTAAGTACAATCCCACATCCATGATGAGGAACAGTATAAGGACCCACCTCTTTGGCACTCTTGATCTTCTCCAAGAAAGTGCGTAGCTCCCTGGTTTCTGTGTACAGAGCCCGACACACTGCCTGGTAGTGACTCTGAGCATCTGATAGACTGGGTAGATGAGCTGTGCATAGCTACAAGGGAGAAAGTGAAGCAGAGAGACAGAGAGAATTTCAGTACACAGCTGCATTTATTATAAAAACATGCAATTTTTTAAACCAATGGCTATTAATATTCATGTTATTTGTTTATATTACTACCACATTCACAATAAAGGAATTTCAGAGCACCCTCTGGCAGCCATGTTGGAGGTCCTTAGTGCTTTGTCAACACTATGCGTGAAATGCTTTCTAACGCATATAATAAACATTATTGATTATCAAAATTGTTGCTAATTAGGTTTTTTTGTTGATCAACTAATTGATTCTTGGGCTAACTGTTACAGCTCCACACTACATCATAGTTTGGACCTTTTAGAAACAAATCTACACTACATTATCATTCTTTATTTTTACTCCCACTTTTCAGTCCACACCACAACCACCAACAAGACAATCCTATTCTGTTTAGATCTACTCTGGGCTATATTTGCACTTTGCTGAGTCTCATCGGCTCCCCCACAATACGAGAGTGTTGATGTCAAACCATGAAGCCTTGCTAAAGGATGTCAGGGACTACATAAAGCACTAAACACCCATAAAAAACATTTGCAGACGTGTAAACAACTGTTGATTGCTGAACACAATTCACAAGACAACTATGCCTGAGATCAGCCATGCTGCTGTTCTCTCACCTACACACACACACACACACACACACACACACACAGAGAGAGAGAGAACAACAGTGATGACAGAATATGTCCTTGTCTCTCTCAAAGGAACAGAAGGTATCCTGGGTCAAGGCTTGGCATGCTCCTGGCGTCCATTTGTCCAGACTGCATTCCACTTAGAGAAAATTTCACTAAACACAGAAAATGCCAGACAACCGTCTCTGCCTATTAGCTTCATGGTGCCCACATCCAGTCACAAGTGTAGGACTGAGAGAAAATGATGTATCCAGGGTTAATGAATATGTTATTGTTGTCATATTCACACAAAAATGCAAACAGTTACATTCAATAAATGTGGCACTAAGTTAAAACCCGTTAATAGTGTATTCTGTGTCAGGTAGGGTGAGTACAGTAGGACAAAAGGTAAACTGAAGGAGCACAGAGAGGGAATGGTCTGGGGGTGAAAATACAGAGACAACAATTGGAGCCGACACTGAGTTCGCCACCAGGCTAACCACACTGCCACACTGCTCAGATACCTTGGAGAGCAGTATATGTATGTGTGTGTGTGTGACTGGGTATGTGGTCATTATGTAAACAGTGTGAGGCCATGTGAGGACTGACACAGTGACTCTGTGCTCCATTGGACAACAGAGATACATGACTCCCAGCAAGGATGAGGCTGGCAGCCAGACTGCACTGCGGTTGTAATCTCTGTGTTCAGAGCCATGTTTCACATTTTCATTTTCTCACATCTTTTCCTGAACAGTTACCCTCGCTGATATTATCTGTTCCTGGAAATTCAACAATGGATTATGTTTGAGTCAAGAACTGTATTTTACTTCTATATTTATATAATATATTTACACTATCACCACTGGATTTACTTATTTACTAATTACTTTACAAATTTTTGTCTAAAACTGATTACTGATTACAATATATAACCCATTAGTATATAGAAACTTTATTAGTTTATAAAATTAGTTCCACCTCAACCAGTCTAAACATTTGACATCATTTGAACATTTGAATGCTTACAGGTTAATGTGTCAGTAACAATAATCCAATAATAAAAACTATATAATAATATACCACTCTGAAAGGAGCATTCTGCGTAATGTGTACTGTCTACACTTTAAACATATTCTGAGGATAATACTTTGCTCGAATGCAGGACATTTACTTGTAAAGGAGTTCATTTAAATTGTTGTAAGCCTATTGGTACTGAACTGGAATAACTGGCAGTAAATGATTTGTTCATTGTACTTCTTCCATTACCGGAATCCATGAATTCAGATTCCTCACAGCTGTTGCATTAGTCCTCTATCAAATGACGACTGAAGCATTTCTTAATGTGTTGCAGTAGTTATGTAATTAAGTGGTTACTTAACAACTTGTAATTCAACACTTTAAAACATTACTATACTAAACATTTAAAACTTCATTAATCAGCAGAACATCACAATAAGCTAAAAATAATACATATTTGAGATACAATATGGTTTTATAAAGTTGATGTTGATTTCACAATTGTATTAGCAAAATATTGCTATTTCCACATCCAGCAGACATGGAGCACCATTAGCATTCATTTGGAGTCATGTTTCTTGCAACCTACCAACCACTAAACAAGTATTAAATATTCCCTCTTCTTTTAGCTCCGTTTTCTCCTAAGGGAAATATCTGGCTCTTTAGCTGCTAAATGCTCCATTATGTTCACCTGCCAGTCGCTAACTTTGTCAGTCTGTCTGTTTGTCTGTGTGATGTTGGGCAGGTAGCGAACAGTGAGTTTATCAGAGCTTCACTGAAAACAGTTGCCAACTGCTGCTAAACCAGGCTGATGGGAAATATAAAACCAAAATAACGAGCAGAAAGATGTTAAAATGCTCTGTAGAAATAAGAGGAACTGCAGAGTTGAATGATAATTCTCTGAAACACTAACATCACTAATCCACACCATTCGCATTACTCATAGTCATTCGATCCGTTTTAATATTTAAATTTAGTGTCTTATTAGCTGTTGGAACGACAGTCGTTCTCAGGAAAAGTCTGAAAACAGGAAGTGATGTGTTTACATCTCCAGCAATAGCAACAATGGTTTATTTGCAATAAGTAAAATGACCAGTTATCTTTCACACAAATAGCCACCAATGGCCGAACAAACACAGAAAAGACAGCCACAGTCACTTACTCAGCTACTGTACCTACCTTGAGGATATCTCTGTAGCCGTGAACACTGGAGACATTGTCAGGGTCATCCTCTGCGTCGTCCTCTTCCTCTGTGGCCTCATAGCCTTCATCGGGGCAGGCGTCCTTCTCAGCCTCGGCCATGTTGGTCATGAGGTCGATGAGCTCCTCAAGAGGAGGGCTGAGCTCCCTCTCCTCATTCTCCTTCAGCCCGTAATCCAGAGCCTTGTAGATCATGATGCCCAGAGACTCAATCACCTGAGAGAACACGAGAGACAAAAAAGTAGCTTTACATCATCTGCGTTCATTCTCGTACATACTGTGCCACTTTTGCTTATTTACATTCATTTCCATAGGCATCATCTCCATCTGTAAAGTTTACAAGTTGATAATTATCTGCATGCTAGCGCGTTTCTTTTATTTACGAACACTATGTTACTTCCATGTGTAGATTTAACAAGATCAGTAGCTTACAATGCACATAGGTTGCACACATTGTAAGAAAAGTACGGCTAAATAACTGGTGTGTGATGAGAAAAGAAACTGATGTATGAATATTAAGCAAACACTGCATTACATTTGTCTTGTTTTGTACATTGTTCTGTTCTTCATCTGCCACATAATAAAAACAAATATGGATTTCTGCCTTTGTTAATATGATCCTCTTTTTTGTGCCAAGCCCGAGCTGAACAGCTGTAATATGGTGACCTCATGACTCAACCTTTGGCGAAAGAGCTCCCTCCGCCATTCATACACACATGCAAACATACACGCTCACCGGCCTTTGACATGCTGACGCTGGAAGCAGATTACTGACAGTAGATCTTGTGATTAACTGACCCATGAAGGAAAACACCAACATCACATCATCAGGTCCTCATACAGAGACAGACAGTCTGTTAAAAGATGCTGGAATTCAGAGGCAAGAGCCAAGAGGTCAGCAATTTGTTCACTGTCTAAGATTCATCCTATTTGAGAATGTCAGGACACCCAATATTTTTAGTATTAAATTCTCACATCTACAAGCTCAAATGGTCGCTATTATAAATTGTTTGTCTGCAAAGAAAACAGTGCACAACCACAATATAGCTTAATAGGTTTCTCTTTTGAGATTAAAAGGTTAGCACTTTTACATGGAGGTTACATTTCTCATGAGGGATTACCTTTGTTTAGCATCCAACGTGTGCATCTACAATAAGCACAGCAGTCTTTTTCAACCATAATGTAGCTTTTTGGGGGAAACACAATAGTTTGACATGGTTTTATGGACCTTTTGATACTTTGTTTATGCCATGGAAACAGCATGTTTTCTATGCACAAGCAACCTTAAACCTGCATTAACTAATGTTTTGGCCACTCTGGGGCAGTGCAATAGGCTGTTAAAGTAACACTGACATATAAACTTACACTGTAAAACCAGGTTAGTAAATAAAAATAAAAAATAAATAGTTAATTATATAATAATTATATTTGAAAATCTTAAGTAAAACTAACGTTAAAATATGTTTAATATAAAAAAACATTCTTGATAAAGTAGCTTTAGTTATTTTAAATCCCATTGACTTAATTTAACTTATAAAAGTGGTTGTTGCGTAATGTGATGGACATATTAGCAAACTTATCCAGCAGACATTTATTCATTCATTCGGAATCGTGTTTCTGACCACCAAGTTCAATATTCATTCTTTAGCTGTTTTTGGTCTCACTCCTGAGGGAGCAGCTTTAAGTGTTCATATTGGAATGAGCTAAACTACAGCCATTTTACTGTAAAATTGCTTTATGAAACCATGCTTTTGTTTTTACATCCAGGACGAAGTAGTCTGAGCATCTATTGATGTGGTCAAACCTCAAACCCAGAAGACAAACAATAAGCATACATGGAAAATGGAAAATGTGGGATAGTGTCTTACATCAGCTTCTTGCATCTCTGAGACTTCCACCCCCACTTGAACACGCACCACCATCATTACTTTTACTGTGATACAACCTATCCTTTTTACTGTTTTACTACCACACAAAAATAATATACTTTGACAAAAAAGAATCTCTGAATGTTCAAAGTCAAGTAAAAACTGTGTTAACAAGTTAATGTTTATTATGCTACAAACATAAAATAAACAAATAAATGGCTTTGTAACATTATGTAATATCACCAAATTATATAATAACTTGACAAAATGTCATACATTTTTACCTCATTGTGATAACAACCACATTTTATCTGCAACATACTGTAATAAACAGCCTGAACATTATACATTTTGAATAAGCTGAAGCCTTGTGATGGTCTTTTTGAGGAGCCCTCAAAAGGCCATTGCAATCCTGCTAGAAATAAGCATAAAGGAGTCCCTGAGTTTGGCTGATCATGTTACTGCTTTTATGTGGCTAATCAGACTAAGATCAGACTCCTATGACGCCACAGGTCAAAGGAGTCTAATTTAATATTTGGGTTAACCCAAGTTTCATTTAGGTTAATTATAAAGTATAAATATATAACATGTACAGATGAAGACATCATTTTGATTGGTAATTACATAATCTTCCATATTATTATATTTTCATCATAAAAAAGAGCAACTCCCACATTTTGTAATAACCGCCACAAAATGTATGCGTCAGATTATTTCAAAATGCAGGTTATTACATAATGAAGTGAAAATGTATTACATATGTCATTACATAAAAGGCTTCCTGGATGGTCGAAACAATTCATTCTTCAAACTAAAAAACATATTGGCTTTTGGATTAAATGCTTACCAATAAGGTTAAATATATAAGATGTCAAATGTTAAAACGCATATTATTTCTGTTCCAGTGGTTGGTGCTTGTAGGTCAGGAGATGCTATGCTTAGTTATAGCACTCAATCTGCCCTGGAATTGGACTGTCATGGTGGATAAAGACAGCAATGCCAAAGCCAAGACAAAAGGCAAGAGTGGGAAATCACACAGGGGATTATTCTGGAGTCCTGATCACTGAGAAAAGACTCAGAGGGAGCGAGACAGCATATAAACCACTGAGGGGAAAAGAAACTGAGAAAGGGGGAATGAGGAGATGCAGGAAGGGTGGAAAAAGACAAGGATCAGAGACAGAGGACAGGAAAAAGAAGCAGTGAACGAGATCATGAGAGTCATTGAATGGATAGAGAGGTCAAGGAGGGAGGAGAAAGGTGAGACATCAAGAGAAGTTACAATGAGTGTGTGTGTGCAGACAAGAAGATCAAGGGCAGATCAACTGACATTCATGGAGGGGGGAGGATTCATATGAGAGATCTGTCCCCCTCTACCCCATCAGTGCCTAAAAGAGCTGGGTTTTCTCAGGGGGGAATGGATAAATGCCACCTCTTTGTCTAAGCTCCACCCAGATCCACACTAACTGATATATGACACCATGCAGGGAGGCAGACACACACAAGAAAAATGGCTGCACATGCAATTATACTCCTCCAGGGACCCATAGTAACCTCAGGCTATAACTGACATCCTTAGCTAGAGCATGTTGTAGAAAATGTGACAGACATGGACTGTTCAGCCCTGCCCAGAGGCTAAGGCCTTTTATGCGTAAAGTATGTGGATTTTCAGGCTCTTGCTTCTTATCTGCAGCTTTACTTGGCTAAACCACATCTTCAAGAATTCAGTCAAAGGCTATAACAGCAGCCGATCTGCAAAAGGAGATTCACAAAAAAGATCGGTTGGATCATTTTTTCACTTTCAATTGTTCCACTGACTGATAAATGAGGTGAGGGTTTTTTTCTGGCAGGAGAAGCAGCCACAAATTAAACTTTCAACCTTACAGAGATCAAAGGCATCGGGAAGCTACAATGTGGCTAAATGTGCCACATATTAAAATATACTGTATTATTGGTCTTTCATTTTCC